CCTGCAGGAAGAATGGACGGAGATATAGGTGGATTTGATTTGTGAACAAATAACAAAAACGATAACAACTGACATATAATAAAATTGAGAACTGACATACGAAGGATCAACGGCCCTGGGGACGCCGGGGGTAATCGTGCGGGGATGCTCGTCGTATCTCTTAGGGGTAAAAATCAGCGATTTGGTCTCTTTTAGTGCCGTAAAGTTGATATGATAAGCAATTCAGCACTTTCTGGTATCTTTTAGGGTGTTGAAAAAGGAACTAGCTCATTGCAATCATCGCATGTATACAAATCCAGTCATTAATTAATATTTAACAAAAGAATCTCTGGTGTATTTTTATAGAACAGTAGGAACTCGTGGATAAATTGAATCACCGTAAAAAGCTTTGTGAAACTGACGTTTCGGATGTTAGTCCTTCGTCGGAGTAAGTGGAAAGAAAATATGAGAAGGGATGAATAAATTATAAATACTAAGATGGAAAATAAAGTGACCAATGAGAAATAAGCATATGAAAAAATAAAAATAAACAAAAGGACCGAAAAAAACAATAAATGAGAAATGGAAAGTGAAGCATGACTAATTAAAAGTGAAGTGTTGATTCATCCCATGGGGACTGACAGTGCCAAGTGAGTGAATAAGCCGCATTTCTAACGTTTTGCGGGAATTATTACCGCCGTGCAATAAACTTAAACCAAAGACAATGATGTTACATTATGTTACATTATGTTAGATTTATTATGTTGTATTTTGATAGTATTGTTTTTGTTGTATCTCTTATTGGTTAAAAATTGCCAAGCCACGCCCTTTTGGAAAAAACGTCCAATATCTTTTAGGGTTATTTTGAAAAATTTCCGACGAGCATCCCCGTAAGTTTACCCCTGAGTCCCCCCCTCCTCCTCCCGGGTCAACGGCACAACCAAATGACTGAAAGAATGAACCGATTGAAGGGTTGGAAGATCTGTCATCAGATCTGTCAACCGGGAGGACGGGGTTCGAATTCCAGCCGGACAATCACTCAGGGTCTTAAAATGATCAAGGTGAGAATGTTCTAGCTTTGTAATTAGTTCGGTATMTAACTGTGCATTGAGACGTTATTGAAATGGACTATATATAACACTGCATTACACTACAATAATAATTTAGCCTTTTAAACAACTATTTCGTCATTGATGATGTTTAAAGATTAAAGGATGATATCCTTTACTCTAATTAAAGGTTTTTTGAGTCTGACTTATAATAAAATTTTTCAAAACGTTTTCAAAAGTGATGAAGGTACTAGCCAGAACGTTTTGAAATATTCTATTGTATGTCCTAGTAAAAAATCTATCATATTTTATATAGTATTATATTATTTGGATTATATCTGGCACATGTTAGAGACAAATGAACTTAAATTTTTCAATTCAATCGGTAGAGTTTTGATGGCATTTATACTGAAAACAAGTACGAATGTCTGTCCAAAGGCCAAAAAGCTGAAAAAGAATCATTTGAAGCTGTCCAAGAGAAAAGCAACGTAAGTATGCTTAAGTTTCATATTACTTTTTAATTTGTTTCTTACAATAACCTTTCCTTTTTCATTTAACATAGCGCACATGTTATGCTTATGTTCACTGCTGTTTTCCAATGTAGGTTTTTGAAAACAAACGAAATCTGAGGAGAAAACGAGAAGTAAGTCTACTTTTTTACATTACCAAGATATTTACCAAAATATGTGAAACAACTTACTAGAATGGAGTCTTACGGAATACTTTTCTAGTGACGGTATTTCGATAATAGAGTGCTCACATTATATCCGTGAAGCAAATACTAGTTTTTAGCGCTAAATAGTGATAATTAAACAATAGCAAACAAAGGATTCTGTATGAAATAATACTAATTAGTACTATTTAATGTTCACGGTTTTAGTGCGTGCACTCTAAACAAAAGACGTCGATAACCCAGAGCAAATGACTTATTTGGTAAAGGTTTACACGATGGAAATTTATATGAAATGTCTAGAATAACTAAAACTCAAAGTTCACTTCAAGAACTCAATATCGTTTAAAATTTCGTTTTCGTTTTAAATTTTTAGAAATCAGTTAAACTGAAAGATTTTGTGGTCACTCCACTCTTGTTTCCTAAAAGAAAACCCAAATCAAGCGTCGTACAGAGTTTAGCAGATACGGTTTCCAAGGTAGGATACTTATTTACCAAAAATCGTACGTCCTGCTCTAAATAATCAAGACTAAAGATTTTGTTCAAAATAGGAGAAGAAAAATATTGTGGCAGAACAAAAAAAGACACAAGAAGACACCACAGCTCTATTAGCAGAGGTAGCTTGCATCAACCTTACTGTGCATCTCGTTTGAAATAGCCAGAGCCGCTGCATAAACAAACAAATATATTGTTTTTCTTTGCCCATTGCAGCCAACAAATGATGTTGAAATGGACAGTTGTGGTGAAAAACTCAAACCAACGATAGTGCTTGAGGTAGGAAAAAAATCATTAATTMCAAAGGTATGCCTGCCGTCTATAATAATGAACTGACATATTTGCTGAACGACAGAATGATGGCGTCGATTGAGTGGTGAGCGAGTGTACAGTGGTAGCATATGTTATGATCACTTATTATTCTGAACTAGTGACTGTTATACGGACGATGCACTGACCCATCTTACCATTTTTTTTGGTGACAGACAGTTAACCATAGTGGTTAACTAGTGGTTAACAGAATGCCTGTTTTTGTCATGTTTCTGACCTAAACGTTTTTTATTATAACGGAAAACCCCTTTTCTCTTTGTGCAAGTTTTTCACTAATATA